TGAAATAGTTAACAATTGGATACAAATAAGAGTTATAAGATAACTGTTTTGAAGTGAAATATCTCGCTATAGTCAAATCACTTTATCACCATCATCCTACTTGAATTCACTATAAAAGTGAACATAATTCATTATTAACCGTAGTTATAAAATTTACACTGCTCACAAGTCACTTATTTACTTTGGATAAATTATTATCAAAATTCGCCTTAGATTCAGATGCAATCCTAAGCATCAACCGTTACAGAAGTATCTTTCTATTACTTGACAATTCTAATAAAATTTTAATTTTATTAAAACTGGCGTATATTACGTTTAGGTGTTGAATGCATTTCTATACCTAAACAATTATAATGTTAGATGCACATGATGAGATAATAATAAATTCACTTTGACGCTTATGTAGATGAAATGATGAAATGAAACATTTGAGTTAGGCTATGTTTTAGAGTTGTATTTAGGAAGAGAGAAGAAGAGAAAAATTAAAAGGATTTAACCTTTATTTGATAGTTACTTAATTAGGAGAGAAATATTTTGAGAATTTTTTTTAAACACTTCTAATGCTAAATTTTTTAAGTTCTCCCATTTTGAAAGATTTTATCTTTTCCACACTCTCATACTCTTTTATATATAGAATTTTAACTTTTTTTCTAAAAAATATTAAATTTTCAAGTAATATTTTTTTAAAAAAATTTATAAAAAATAAAAATAGTAATTTTAAAAATATTAATGTTAAAATTATTAACTTTTAGAGAAAGAAAAATATTTTTTTTATTTTTAATAAAAATAAAAAGTATAAAATATAATATCATTTATATAAGACTTAATTATATTTTTGATCTCTATAAATATAAGCCTTTTTTTAATTAGTTCTTACAAATATTTTTGTTAAGAAATAATTCTTTTAAAGTTGGTAATTTTGAAATTGATCCCTGCTGTTAATCCCTCCTCTGTTAAGTGCTGAGTTGACTAACAGAGAATCAGCTCAACAATTCACATGACGCCACGTAACTATTTTGAAGTCTAGTCACAACTTACGTGGTATGCCACATCATTTATTATTTATTATTTTTTGTTTAAAATTAAAATTTATAAATAAACTCCTAAACCTATTTTATATTTTTATTAATAAATCCTTCTTCTTCCTCAATCAACTCCTCTCCGGCAGCTCTATCTCCCCCCATTCCTAACCTCTACTACCACCCTCACCCATCATCTATTAACACGCCCTTGAAAAAAATACACCAGTGCGCCATAAGAATTTGGAATTATAGCTAAACTTTATATTCAATTAAAACATTTAACATTGCCCTTCAACCAAATGAGCCCTAATGTTATTGCCCTCCACCATTCTAGAGAAACCCCAACTCGATCTCCTTATTCCAAAGCCCATGTCCAAGCCTAAGGGATGTTGTTCAACAATGAAGTGAAGCTCCTACAAATGTTCACATTCTGTTTGACGTCACCATCAACTCCATCTCGGAACCCTTGCATTTGCATCGACTTCACGGATGAGGAGGATGAAGAGGCGGCAACGTGGTGGGTGTGGGAGCGCTTTGCATTCTTCTGGCTACTGCAGAAGGGGAGAGAGGTAGCTTAGTCATTTGAGAAGAGGAAGGTGGAAGCGTAGTGAATGGCATGGAAGTGTGAGGAGGTGGAAGCAAACTTAGTGAGGATGAGAGGGTTGTTTTGGAGACCAAGTTTGAGAATGAGCGTGTGGATTTGGGTGAGAGTGTTGCAGGAGTGAAGAAGAGCCGAACACATTTGTTCTGCGACCCTTCATTTCGTGGTGTCTGGAGGAAGTTGGAGCCATAGGATAGTAATTGCAGATGATAGCTTAGTTAATTGTTTTGGAGTGGGGGTGGAAGAGACGTTGGAGTATTGGGTTCCATAGTGAGTGGGGTGAGGGTGATGGTAGAGGATAGAGGTAGGGGAGGTGGAGTTACGAAGAGGAGTTGATTGAAGAAGAAGAAGGGTTTATTTATAAATATATAAAATGGGATTAGGAATTTATTTATAAATTTTAATTTTAAATAAAAATAAAAAATAATAAATGATGTAGCATATCATGTAGGCTATGATTGGACTTCAAAATGGCCACGTAGAGTGTTAAGCTGACTCTCTCTTAGCCAGCTCAGCACTTAACATAACTAGCTCAGCACTTAACAAAAAAGGGATTAACAGCAGAAACTAGTTCTAAAATTACTAATTTTAGAAAGACTACTTCCTAACAAAAATATTTGTAGGAACTAATCACAAAAATAACTATATTTATAAAGACAAAAAATATAATTAAGCCTTTATATAATTAAATACCTACTGTCCTACCCTCTCAATATTAAACATTTAGAGTTTAATCTTTTTTTCGGTTCCTTCTTTCTCCTCCTTCCTTCAAATCTTTTTCCTCCCTCCCTTCCAAACTTCTAAATAAAGTTTACTGAGTACACAATTTTATTGTCTCGTATTGTTACTCTTGTTCAAGTTTTCACTAATTAATGTTAGAATATTCATGCAAGAATATCACCCTCTTTTGAGACCCCTGAAATGTGCATAGCAACCTACTTTACATCCTTCAATTGCAGTACTAGGAACATAGATCACCCTTATACTCGGCTAGTGAATGGCAATCATAAAAATCATGCATATTTCCTGAGAAATCGAAAATTAAAAGAAAAAAAAACGTATTAATTAAATCACAGTGTAGATTCAAAACCTATATCATGCAGGCGCGACATGGGAAAGCTTCCTTAGTTTACCTTAAAACTTCAGAAATCAAAGATTCCATTATTGACCTGCAATGACTAATCCTGCCGTGTTTTACAACTTTACGTCTCTGCCATTTTAACATATTTATGCATTAACTTCTACGTTAAATAATAATTTAAATTATAAAAAGTATATATATTGTTTTAATTTTATAAAACTTCATTTTTTAAAATTAATTAATATTTTCATCATTTTTAATTCCTATATTGTATTTAAATTAATTGTGTTCACTTTACTTGTAATTTTGAAAAACATTTTCTTAAATATTTTTAATTATATGATAATATCAATATAATTGTGAGAATTAAGAATGCACATTGGTTGTCACGTTAACTCTCATGCGTCATTCACATATACTGTATTTCACAGCAAAACTCTAGTTCACCACCTTCCAATTTTTAATTTAGTCATCCGGTAAGATTACAATTTACTAGAATTGCAGAGGCACATGGAGGAGAGTCACAAGGCAGGAATCCATGCTTTCACTCTATTTTAACTGGTATTTGTTTTGTACTTTTTTTTGTGTGTGTTTTTATTGAATGATTTTTAAGTAATGTGTTTTGTTTATGATCTCTGGTTTCCAGTGTCAACTTTTCAACTTTGAGTCTTATTCTGTCGTTGTTTTGTTGGAATGTGTATACCTTTCAAGTTAAAGCTGATTAGCATCCCATAATGCTTAGGAAAACCTAGATACATTCATGAGAAGCATCTTCTTATGATCAGACCCCACTGCAAATTTGAATAATTTTTGGAGTAAACCCTCATTTTAATGTTTGAGATTGTACGGGTTGTGTACTTTTAATTTTTAAAATTTTTTGTCAGTCCTGATTTTGTAAAATATTATTATTTTTAATTCTATTTTATTGTTGTTTTGTGTTAGACATAACTAAAATGAATAATATTTTATAAAATTATAAATACTTTTTAAAATTAAAAGGCATGATTCATACCATTTCGAAGAATAAATTAAGAGTTTAATCATAATTTACGAACTACAGTTGTAGATTCCTTTTTATCTTCGAAAGAATAGTACTTTAGAATTTAAAAGGAGGATTTTATGTATCTATCACTCTATCTGGTAATATACGTGCTTTGAAAATGTTTGTTATTCGGATGACTTTTATTTTAGTCGAAGCAACCATTTTGCTTAAAAAACACGTTGAAAGATAATACTATTGGCTATCACCATAGGAAAAAAAATATCGTTGTATGCAGAAATTAAATATAAAAGTATTAAAAAAAAACACCGAAATGGTTATAAAATAAAGGCAGTTGCAAAAGCAAAGCAAAAACATTCTACTTTGTTTCATTTTTTTTCTTTCAAAATTTCAAAACAAATGGTCAAAACAAGTTTAGGCTAAAGTCTAAACAATCAATTGGTATCTTAAAAGGCGTGAATAAGTTTGTATTTATGCAAAACAACAGTTCGGGATCACCGCATTTGACTAGTAAGAAGATTCCCCCATTCATTAAACCAGAAAAAAAGAGAGGAGATTCTGAAAACTTCCATAAGAAAGAAAAGATGCATATATTCATCAAACGTCTTTTAATTTATAATCCTTCTAGTTATTTTATTAAAAAATATGTATTGAGTTATCAAAATTTCTATGTTAGGTAAATGAATAATACATGTATAAGGGAGCTTATTTAGGAGAACATAACACAAAAAGAGAAAAACAAAGGCTAAAAAATTGAAGAATCTCATGTGCCTTGAGAGGCAAGGGTCGTAACGCAACTTGGCCCCCCACTCCCTCATCCATTTTGCATTAAAAGAAGTTAAAGGGTCAACTCTCTCTATGTGCCTCTCTGTCTCCAACTGACCTTTACCCCATTCCCATTTTTCTTCATAAAAAATCCAACGGCTAATCACAACCTTTTGACCTTACCACCAATTCTCTCTCTCTCTCTTGATCGTCACAATTGTCTTCAACACACTCTATCCCGTTATAAGGGACCCACCTAAAGATATGAGTCTATGTCCTAAGAAATTTCCACGTGGACTAAAACAATTAGTAGTTAGGTTTGACCCTTTGCATCGATGAGGCAACCTTTGACTAAAACAAACGCCCTTCCTCTTCTTTCCCAATTCCTTTTTTCCCTCTACAATCCTAAGAAATAAAAAAAGATTCAACCCCATGATTATAACTAAAAGAGGGTCATTTGCAAAGTAAAAAAAGATTGTAACTTGCTTCTCCTTTTCCCTTTTCATTGTTTGTTAATGCCATTGAAAAACTATGGCCGTGGAGCTTATAACGGGTTTTGGAAGCGATAGGAATAATAACAATGCAACGGCGGTGCAGGAAGCGGCTTCTGCTGGCATTCACAGCGTTGAGAAGCTCGTCGACATGATTTCCGGCACTGAGAAAAGTGATTCTGAATTCGGAGCCGTTGCTGACGTGGCGGTTAACCGGTTCAGAGAGGTTATTTCGCTCCTCGACAGGCCAAGAACCGGTCACGCTCGTTTCAGAAGGGCTCCTATAACAGTGCCACCTGTCCCTCTTCTTCAATTGCAACAGACGGTGAATGATTCAAAACCGAAAGCGCTTTCTTTTGTGCAGCAACTACAACATAATACAGAGCAAGCCTCTGCTTTCAAGGTTTATGACAACCAGAATCATCAGCAACGTTTTCTTCTCCATCAACAGCGTTTACCTTTGCCACCAAAGAATGAAACAAATGGTTCTGCCAACTCTTATATTTCTACATTAACGAGAGACACTGAAACTTTGCAACGCCCTTGTCACTCTTCGGGGTTTTCTAATGCGTGTAAACCGCCACTGTCATCAACTTCGGTGAAGAGAAAGTGCAATTCAACGGATTTTTCTACTCTCAAATGTGGATCGTCCTCTGCTAAGTGCCATTGCTCCAAGAAAAGGTGTTCTATTTTTTTATTTGTTTTTTAGTCTTGGTATTATTCTCATCACAATATGTATTTCAATACACTTACATTATTACATAAGGCTTTTATATAAGTGTATAATATATGCTTTGAATGATGTAGGAAATTGAAGTTGAAGAGGGTGATCAGAGTACCGGCTATTAGTTCCAAGACTGCAGATATCCCACCCGATGAATATTCATGGAGAAAATATGGACAGAAACCTATCAAAGGCTCTCCACACCCGAGGTATGTTAAATGTAACAAGATTAAGTACATATTTACTTTGCTTTAAATGCCATATAATCACCTTTATTTTCTTGTATCATGATTTTATATATAAAAAAGTACATATTTAATCATTCTTGATTAAAATTAATTTTTTTTTAAATTTACGTTTGAGCTAACATAATAACTTGTACATTTTGCATTGAGTTAAAAATTTGCATCAGATTTTATGGTAAACTTATTTTAAGAATTTTTTAAATATAAATTAGGTCGCTTAAACAGTTTTAAATAAATCCAATCAATTAATTTAAATTTAAGTTTGTAACCCAAACACATAATTTGGTAGTCTATCACTGTGTCGTAATTGCCTGTGGTAGCCACCTATGCGTTTCTTGTTATGGCGTACTCAATCTTCTGTTTTTGACGTTTTTGTGCTAGAAATGACAGAAACAAATTTTATGTTTGTGGGTAGCTGTGTATGGTCTCTCAACGTGAATTTGTTATTTGACATTGCAGAGGTTATTACAAGTGTACAAGCGTGAGAGGTTGCCCAGCACGCAAACACGTGGAGCGTGCTGTGGACGATTCGAACATGCTGGTTGTTACCTACGAAGGAGATCATAGTCACTCCCACACCGCTTCTGAGATGGCCAATGTTGTTGTCCTTGAATCTTCCTAGTCTCCATTGATCCAACCACTGATACAAGTTTTTGTTCTCACCTGCCCCAACTCCCAATTCAATCTATTGCTTCATTTAGAATATATTTAATTATAGCTTTGTGATTAGTCAACACTCAGTGTTAGTAATATTGCTTTAGCTCATATATAAGGATTTTTGTGTTTTGTTCTCTCTTTTTCTTTATATTTAAGTTAAGAGATTACAAGATGTTATTATGTTTAAAGAGATCAAGATTAATTTGTGTTGGCAGTTTGTAACTGACGCTAGTAGGAGAAAATTTTCTCGTTAATTCTGTAGTTATTTTAAAATTCATTGAAATACTTAAATACAGAAGGATTGGTTGGTCTTTGTAACATATATTTAAGAGAAAAGAAAAAGAAATTGAACAGCGTTGATGAATTCTGATGAAGTTTGTTGCATGGTGATTTTGCTTTTATATATATATCATTTTCATTGTATATATATAGATAATATGTCTTGTCAAGTCCTAGTGTGAATTTGAAAAGGGGGACAAGAGAACAGGTAGGTATACAGTCACGGCCATGAAGGCTGGAGAAAAATGTTGCATTCCTTTGATTTGATGAGTAGGTTTCGTGTGACTTAAGTTTGAAAGTTGATGGAAGAACTCGTTGTAATTGGTGTTTGGTGAAGCACGCGTTATTCTATTTTTGCATTGTTACGTTTGAATGACGAAGCAGCAATGAATGGGTTTGAGAATTTTTGACAACCTAACGAGAGGTTTATTGACTTCTGAGGGTCCTCATTCGACCTAAATTGGCAACAAAACACACAGTCACGATGTGAATTGTAGGACTAGAAAACTTGTTCTCATGTCTGTTCGTTTTACTACGCTCCTTAATAACGGCCTTCTTTATATTGTGATTAAAATCATCTCATTCTGTTATCACTCTTCTTTCTTGTCCCTCTAATTTAAAATTAATAATTAATTGAAATTTAACATATTTAATCTCTTAATTGTTAGATTTTTTCCCTTTTTAAAAGCAGTTTTCTCTTTTTTTAAAAATATAATATAATATAAATTTGTATTATTAGAGCATGTTTATTTCTCTTTTTAAAAACACTTTTTTTAAATATAACACAAATTTATATTATCTTTTATTTTAAAAAAATGTGTTTCTAAAAAGGAAAATAAAATAATTTGATAATATTTTATATTTTTTTCGTTTTTGCGCCACTTTTACCATATGAATGCCGGAAAGCGTGTTCACCGGGTTTGCTACTGATAATATCAGGAAAACATGTACATGACATGAGAAACGAATTATAAAACGTGATAAAGTTTAAAAATATTACACCAAGCATAATTATAATACGATAAATAAAATCAGTATAGTATTAACATGAAGATACAAAACATAAATAAAAAGGAAAAATATTTTAACACTTAATAAGAAAAATTATGTTACTTTATTATTGTGGCATCTCTGTTAGTATAGTTATAAAAGTTCAATAAATAAAAGAAAAATAATATATAAAACAATTTTAATGTTATTCAAAATATTTATGAAATATCTTACATGATGCATTTGATAAATAGATCAAATATTTGAATTCTTATTATGTGAAATATTTGAATTTTGATGATTTTTTTGTTAGTATACAAATATGACAAACAAATTGTACAATTGATACTTTTAGTTTATAAATAGTCTCTTGATTACTCTAGTCAGCTCAGTGGAGAGTGTTCTCATAAAAACACTTCAACGCTTAAGTTGAAAAACTATAACTAAAATAAAGGTATGGTGAGTAAGGATATTGTTCTTGAGCTAAATAATTTTCTTGTTATATAGACATTGATGGTCGAGTTTGTTGCTTTCTACACCTAATTGTGTAATTGTGAGGTATGTAATATGTTTAATGCCTCAATAGTGTACCATGACGCTTACAATAAAGTTGATATTTATGAGCATATATATGTGATAGTTAGACTACTTCATTATAATCAAATTTGAGATGAAACTAAATGTGACCAAGAGTTTAATAGTTGATGTTAATGTGAGGTTGATTTAGGGTTTAAGTCATGACTAATTTGAAATCAGAAAAGAATTTTACTTTCGTGATGAACCATAGTAGAATAACAATAACTTTAGAATTTTAACCAAACTTAAGTATTTGATGTCAAATAATTTTAATTCTTAAAGTTTATATTGTTATATGTGAAAATAAATAGAAGATATAACTTAACTTTACTATTCTATAAATTGTTCACTCGACAGAAGGGATAACAAAGACAATGTAAAGTAAGAAAAAAGAGAGTTTCTTTTACTTATATTATTTTTTTTACCTTCAAGGATTTGCTTAAATACTATGAATTCATTCTCTAAAGTATAGTTAAAAGATAAAAAATAAAAATGGATGATGTGAGAGTATTGCATGCCATGCAAGCAAATAGCAAGCTCTTTATAAAATATCTTTAGAAATTAGAAGGTACCACATTGACCAAGTTCCTTGCAATAAATCCTGGTTTCCTTGTATCCCATCCTCTCAGTAACACGAGAACCATTTGAACGTTTCCTTTCATTGATGATGCCTTTGGTAATTTTCATCCTTGAGGGAGGATAAACATTATGGATGATTGAATCATAATAATTTAGATAGAACTTTAGGACGACACCGAAGTTGAGGTTTTTGTTTTCGTTCAACATGTCAATACTCTTTTGGATCAGTTTTATTACATTTTTTTGTTGCATGGTTCTAACACCTAAACTCTAGTCCATTTTCTAGGAATGGGCTGAAAAACGAAGCCAGCACTTAGAAGCAAAAAGAGACTCAGCTTCCAGCAATGACCAACTAAGGTAGCTAACTATTGATCTGGCTTAGTGGCGCTGTGGGTGGTGGTCTATAGGAAAAACAGGTTGGGAGAGGCAACAGTTAGCAGCACATAGTAATTTCAATTCCAAAAAGGTTTAGGCTCTGAAAACATTTTTTTCTTTTCATGTTCTGCGTTTACTTTTAATTACAAATTTGTCGCGTTATTTTTATTCAGTTTCGTATTTTCTAAGATTTACACAGGAAATAGTAAAAACAAAAAAAATATTTTGTATTTTTTATATAAATCTTTTAAAAAAATAAAATAAAATAAAAACCAAAAATATATTTTTGTCTAAATTTCAATGCCCAAAAGTGAAAACTTTACCCTAAGTTATTGGGGGCAATTGGGGCAGACCTACTGACAACAGCATCTTATTTCATTTTGGTCCAATGGATCAGCCCAGTCTAAGTCAACTTTTGACCCCACCATTAACCCAGGCTATGTAGGATGGGTTATGCGGGCTGTTCAGCTTCAGTGTAATAGTCCAGCTCGCCTAAGTTAGTGGGTTAAATAACAGGCCAGCCCAAGGAATCAAGCCTAATTAGTCACATTATTAGAAGCTAGTTTGTTGACTAAGAGAAAATAAGCTAGTTATAAAAATTGTAGTTAGGATGAAATTAAGTTTGAGTTTGTAAGATTTAAAATTTAATAAAAAAATTTAAATTTAAAGCTTAAATTTAACTTATTTATTTAATATATATTTTAATTTTTTTTACCATTTTAAAACTTAACTTGAAGTATTATAAGATAGTTTAGTGTTTGTTTGATTTATGTAGTCTCTAAATCCAAATTTATACAAATCAACATGCTTAAATATTTAAAAAGACTAACAAATAAATAATTTTAAAATGCACTAATAGAATTTGCTTTATTGATATTATATTGTTTATATTTTTCATGTAGTTTCATAAATCCAAATTTATGTCTCTTTTAACAAACAACTATGAGGGAAAATAACCGGCAGATTAACATTGAAAGATGTTCATAATAAAAAATAAATGCCTAATTTAAAAATATCAGATACTAAAATCATAAAAAATTAGAAAGACTAAAATAAAAAAAACTAAAAAAAATATATAACTGAAAATATAGTTAAATATTTATAAATTTAAGTATCTATATCTTTTATAAATCTCTTAAGCATATGTAGATCATCAGTTAATAAGTATATTGATTGATTCCGGTATTGGGAATGGATTTGTGATGAATTAAATTTAAATGATATCACCAACTAATTAAATATAAAATTATCGGCAAATAATATTGATTTCAGAAATATCGTGTCTACAGTTTATTATGACGCTCATGTGACGAAACAGGAAGGTAACAGCTATGACTAGTGAGTACAAAAGTTATGGTATGATATTAGTATTTCAATATCCATTCACTTCTTTGGATTATTATCTGCCCAATCATTTTGCATACACACACTAAAGACTAAAGTGCTTTGTTGAAAGTTGGCCTAATAAAACTGCACTCTCTTTATGCCTACTTGCCTTCAAAACTAAACAAAGTAGTGTTGAGGAGAAGACAAGATGAGTAGCAATATCATGCCTGCAAAATTTTTGGTCACACTCACAATTTTGTACATCTTCTTTGCTCTTCACACGTCAGCACATGATGTTAACAGAGGCAATAGTGGCCACCGAAGCAAAGGTGGTGGTGGCTCAAGCAAAGGCTGCAACAACCAATTGGACACAACACCATGTCAAACTCAAAAATCAACAACTATTCAAGCAGCTCCACCTCTCAAAACAAATGCTTTGGTATTTGCAGACCAAAGACTTGAAGTAGTGTACCCAGTGATTCAAAGATTCAAGTCCATAATCACCTCAGATCCACTAGGAGTTACCAAATCTTGGGTAGGATCAGATATATGCAGCTACAAAGGATTCTACTGTGATGCTCCCCCAGATAACAACTCTGCCATTGCTTTGGCCTCTATTGATTTGAATGGTTTCCAACTATCTGCTGCTACCCTTGATGGGTTTATTGATAAGCTCCCTGATATTGCTCTTTTCCATGCAAATTCCAACAATTTTGGTGGCACCATCTCACCCCAAATAGCTAAGCTACCTTATCTTTATGAGCTTGATGTTAGCAACAACCAATTGTCAGGTCCATTTCCCATGGCTGTTGTAGGCATGAGCACTTTAACATTCTTGGATATAAGGTTCAATTTCTTCTCTGGGGCAGTCCCACCACAAATATTCACACAGAACCTTGAAGTGCTTTTCATCAACAACAATATCTTCACTCAAGGGTTGCCTGATAATTTAGGCAACACACATATTCTCTTACTCACCTTAGCAAACAACAAATTGATGGGTCCAATACCAAGAAGCCTTCCTAAAGCTTTGTCCACTCTGACAGAGGTATTGTTACTCAATAACCAGCTAACAGGTTGCTTGCCTTATGAGATTGGTTTTCTTGAAGAAGCCACAGTGTTTGATATTGGGAATAACCAATTGACAGGTCCTTTACCATTCTCATTGAGTTGCCTTGAGAAAGTGGAGTTGCTAAATTTGGCTAGTAATCTTTTGTATGGAATGGTGCCAGAAGTGGTGTGTGCACGGTTGGTGAACTTGGTCAACTTTTCATTATCTGATAACTATTTTACACATGTGGGGCCAATTTGTAGGATGTTAATTCAGAGAGGGGTGCTTGATGTTAGAAACAATTGTATTCCTGATCTTCCATTCCAGAGATCAGTGATTGAGTGTGCAAATTTCTTTGCAACACCGAGGCTGTGTCCATTCACGTGGTTTCATAGCCTTATCCCTTGTAAGCTTCCTTTTCAAAACTCTCAGGTTCCTTAGATGCGAATCCTTCTCCTTGTTGACCTTCAAATTTTGCTCCATCTGCTAAGGCATTTTGGTTGCAATTCTTTATCTTCCTTTGTAATGTATAATTGTACTTCAACTTTGTCTTCATCCATGTTCTAATAATTTCCACATGTCAATGCGTGCAATTGATAAATTATTTCAAAAAGATCATTATTTTCTGATTGCAACTGGGTGGCTCGGGAAATACACCCATGCCATGAAGCAAATTAAAATGCCAACTTAGTCCTTAAAATTTGTACCATGGGTTAATTTGGTTTCGTTATGCAAATGCAAAAGCAAATTTAACCCTTTATAGTAATTATTATAAATTTATTTAGTCCCCAATAACTTTAATGTGTATTAATCAATTTGGTTTGTAACGTTAACCATCAATTTGAAAATCACCTTATTAGTTTTATAATATTAAAAATCAAATTAAATAGTAATATTAAATTTAATATTTTATATCATGAACTAAATTAGATACCAATATTTAGGATTAAATAAATATTAGGGTTTGTATGAAGAATAAATTGTTCTTGGGTAATATGACTATCCAGTAGGGCGCATATGATGACATACATTAACGTTACAGGGTTGGCAAGGAAAAAAGTGATCAAACAATTTCTAAATTGCGGATTCAGATTCAAGCAGGAAATTTTCACTTAAATAAAAATGCATAAAAATAACCTAACTAGAAGATGCACTTGGTGTCAAAAATTGAGGAAATCCAGGTCCCTAAATTGCCAAGAGGCTTTTCCAAAGCAAATGGTCCCAAAATTTGTGTTGATGAAGGGATAAGCATCCGCTGGCGGTGTCAAAGCCACTTTTGTTTTTCTTAGATATGTACCACACCACACTCTCTTTTCTCAAGGTCACATAGCAAATGGCCATATCCCTCATGCACAAAAAGCAACTCATATGACAAGTGATGACAAGCTAGTGAAATTACAATATTTAGTTTGTGACTTCTAAATAAATGTTATTTTATTGATAAACTGCGTAACCTTCGCAATCTTATAGCAATGATTGAACAGACATTGAGACAGTTTCCTGTTCATTTGACAAAAGAAAAGAAGTGAAAAACGAGGAAATGCAAATTAACCCAACTGCTCCCATAATTTGGAATTGATGGGCAATGAATTAAGCTCTGCAGCCATGCATGGCCATGCGTTCCAGCTCAAAAAGAGCCTACCGATGCATAATTTAATTTATAATTAACGGTGTGATATTAATCTAAACAGCCTTGTCACTAGGCACTGTTCTTGGTTTTCTAAGATTTTAAATGTCAACGGATACTTGCAAATAACCCAAGTGGGCACCCTTTTCATCGTTTTTATCTCAATATATCAATTATATATGTGGAATGCCACAATGTTGAGACTTGAGAGTGGATTATGTTTGTATACGACTTGACATTGGCATGAGCTATGAAGTACGGACACTTTTAAATAATACTTGTCTTGGATATATATTTATGTTATGACACATCATGGTATTTTAAAATTTTTATATATTTTTTACTTTGATTTTATAAATTTATATTAATATTATTGAAATATCATAATAATTAAATAAATTTTAACATTTTAAAGATATATAACGATTTATATTTCTTTTTTAAAATTTCTCATAATCTCAAAATTTTAGTTATCATCAAGCACGTTAATAAATTAGTACAAGATTCTTTCAATTTAGTATGTGATTCTAATGAATGTTTGGATAGAGAAATTTATTACTCATATTGATCTATCTAGTTTAAACATAATTGTTTCTAATAGAATATACACAGAGACAGATGCACTAGTATTTGAGTGAGGACAGTTGTTTTGACTTTCTTTTACTAATATATATATTATTCTATTTTAATTGCCTTCTCTATTATAATTTAATTGCCTCCACTTCACTATCAAGGAAATACACTTCAGCCACTTTTTATTTTATTAAATGATTACTCCCAAATTTTGCTAAAATTACGTTAATGACACCCACTTTTTTTTGTCTTAAGACTTCTCCAACAAGTCTAGTACATACCTTTTCAACTTCTATGTTTAGGCTTCTCTGTTTTTTCACTTCAATAGCTATTTGGCAAATGCTATCAACAGGAGAAATTTTTTAACTTTTTTCAACTTCTTGAGTTGAGTTTAGCTTTACGGCTTTGTTTTTCTATTTGCGATTGTGAACTTGGGAGAAAGGAAAGGAAGAATATTACGTGGTTATGCTGTGAGCTTCACTTCAAGTCTTCAACAACTCTCGGTTCTTTTTTTTTTGTGTTAAAAGCTTTAATTTTTTGTTCAACAAATTTCTACCCAACAAGCTGTGAGCTGTCTAACAAATGGAGAATATGGGTAACATTTCACCCCCTATTTTTATTTTTTCAACTGTAATATATTTCTTTGTTTGCTCCATTGCATTTGTTATTGTTTTATCAATAAATTATTTGCTTATTTGATTTGCTCTATTTTATTATTAGATATTTGGATTACTTGTATTAGTTTTAAGACTTGTTGTTATTTTTATGTAAAATATTATAATTTTTATTATTGATTTTAGTTTTATGAACATGAAATTAATTATAATTATATTAATTTTATTTCTAGCAATGGAAAGATTTTTTAAAAGAAAATCAACATCAGAACAATCATTTTCTCCTCAAGCACTTGATGAATGTAGAAGTACAATATTAGGTCCGTCATTTAAAAAAAGATTTTTAGAATTTGATTTGGAAAAACTTCCTAATGATCCCAGTTTAAGGCAAAAAATGTCAGATTATCATCCAAGTGATAGAGATAAAATTAGGAGATATTATTTTCAAAAGGGTCCTTGTTAACCAAAAGAGATTAATTTTCCACAAAGACAATTTGGGGATACAATTTGTCGAATTGGTATTCAAAATATGGCAATTGGTTAGAATATAGTCAAAAGTAAGATGCGACATATTGCTTATGTTGTTATCTTATGAGATAACATGTTAGAGAACATAAAGGTAGTGGTGATGCATTTATAAAAGGGGGTTTTATAAATTGAAAAAAAAGTGAAAAGTTTCAAGTTTATGTAGGAGGCCCAAATAGTTTTCATAATCAAGCATGGAGAAATTGTGAAGCTCTAATGAAACAAAAGCAACATATTGATGTTGCCATATGTAAACATTCTCATCAAGTTAAAAAGAAATACTGAATTCATTTGATTGCAATAGTTAATTGCATTCGATTTTTATTGTGCCAAGAGTTGGCTTTTCGTGGTAATGATGAGTCAATGTCATCATGTAATAAAGGGAATTTTCTTGAACTTCTGGATTTTCTTGCTAACCACAATGAAGATATTCATAAAGTTTTAAAGAATGCTCGTGGAAATCTTAATTTAACAACTCCTACAATACAAAAAGATATTGTTAGAGCTGCTGCCTGTGAAACCCCTAAAGTTATACTTGAAGATCTAGGAGATAATTTATTTTTTACTTTGATTGATGAATCTTGAGATATCTCTGTTAAGGAACAAATAGTTGTGGCTTTACGTTATGTGAATAAGAAAGGGCAAGTTATGGAGTGTTTTCTTAGTCTTGTTCATGTTTCTAATACTAATACTCCATCATTAAAATCGGCTTTGGAGTCTTTATTTGCTAAATATGAGTTAAGTTTGTCAAGGTTACGTGGACAAGGATATGATGGAGAAGTAATATGCAAGGTGAATTAGTGGTCTCAAAAGCTTAACATTGAGGGAGAATTATTCAACATTTTATATTTATTATTTTGCTCATAAACTCCTATTAGCTCTTGTTATGGTAGCAAAAAAGCATGTTGAAATTGAATTATTTTTTAATTTAGTTGCTAATTTTTTTTAATGTTGTTGGAGCATCATGTAAGCATCAAGATATCCTTCGTGAAAGTCAAATTGCAAAGGTGAAAAAAGCATTGCAAAAAGGAGAAATGTCTAGTGGATGTGGTTTGAATCAAGAAACTACAATTAAGAAGACAGGAGATACTAGATGGAGCTCACATTATGGTATATTACTTAATCTAGTTTCTTTGTTCTCTTCTATGATTGATGTGCTTGAAATGGTTGAGGAAGATGACATTAGTTTAGAGTAAAAAGCTGAAGCATGTGCTTTGTTGAATTCTATGCAATCTTTTGAATTTATTTTCATCTTGCACTTGATGAAAAGTATTTTGGGAATTACTCATGAGTTATCTCAAGCATTACAAAGAAGTGATTTAAATGCTATGAAATTAGTTATAGTGTCCAAACAGAGGTTACAAATGATGGTTGACATTCTTTGCTCATTGATGTTTCATTATTTTGTGAAAGCACAGTGCTGTCATTCCAAATATGAGTGATACCTTTCAAACAAAAAGAAGGCCAAGACTCAAAATGAAAAAAAGTATTTAATTTACATCATTTTCAAGTTGAATTATTCTATCAAGTGATTGATCGACACCTTCAAGAGTTGAATAATCGTTTTACGTAAGTGAATACTGAGTTGCTTCTTTGTGTAGCATGCTTAAATCCAAGAGATTCATTTTCTGCATTTAATAAGGAGAAATTGATTCGTTTTGCTCAATTTTATCCTTTAGAATTTTCTGTACTTTTGGCACTAGATAATTAATTTAAAAATTATTTTATAGATGTATGCTCTAATAGTGCATTTTCAGAAATAGGGGATTAGTGATCTTTCCATAAAGCTTGTGGAGACCAAAAAACATGTGTATCTGTTGGTCTAGTTGCTTTTAGAGTTAGCTTTAATACTACCTGTGGCAACTGCAATAGTTGAAAGAACTTTTTTTGTCGTGAATATCATCAAGAATCGAATGCAAAACTACATAAGAGATGAATGATTATTTGGTTACTTATATATAGAGAGAATTTTTTTGTAATATTGAAAATGAAAAAATTATTCATTGTTTCCAAAATATAAAAACTCATACAGAACTATTATGATATGTATTTATACTTTTAAATATTATATTATATTATTAATGCAGTAAAATTTGTATATACTATATAAAAAAAAATTCTGGATCCGTCACTCATTATATATCTAATTTAAAAATAAAAAATAAAAATTTTATATCATATTTGTACCATGTATCATATTTATATTTCATAGACGATCATTTTTAAGAGAGACATTTCAAAATGACGGTGTTGCATGTGTTCTTTGGGGGAGCAAAAGCTGAGGTATCCAACCAGTTGATAAATGTAGGCATTATAAAATGGGGAATTGTGAGGAATATGGACAAGTCGACCAAAGTGGTCTTATCGGAATGCCGCAGTCGATGGTTGGCAATGGCATGTTTGTGGAATTCAAGTGATTTTGCCACGGCACAGTGCCAGTGGCAGGGTTAGGTGAGGACCTATTCTTTTTATAATAAACACGAAAATATTAAATGAACCGCCCCAGAAAGACAATAACACTTTTTATTTTATTGGTTGGAAAAAAGTTTAGGCTTTTTCTGTTTCTATTTGACCAAGTTTATGCTATTAATCGAACCTGTATACAAGTGAAATAGAATTGCCCATTGGATATTCATATTCTGGTCAAGCGTGAAAAACGAACGGAACGTAATTTAAGAGAGTAATGATAAATATGGATGGCTCAATGGCTTATGTATTAACTTTTTATTTAGATGATAAATATTTTTTTTACAAAAAGGAATCGTATTATCCAATATTTCAAACGGCAATTGCATACTTTGTTAAATTTTGCTATGCAAGTGATTCACTGTTCAATTGTGCTTTCGAATTCAAATTCAATTTAACATTTCAAAATGCTGATAAAAGTACATCTTTTAAAAATCTTTATAAAGACGTCTTTGACATGTTAAGGGAGAACTGCACTGAGCAAAAAGAGTAGGCAAAAGGCTAATTATTTGATTCCAATATGATACGTTTTATGAAAAGAGTAATATCTTATCACTTGAATTGGGCTCTTAGACTTTATTTCTACAATGTTAAATACATATTATGCAAATTATTGAAAAAATATTTTACTTGAAAAGAAGATGGGTCTCTTTATGGACCATTCAATTAAGATGGATTAATGGGTATAACCGTACTGAGGTCCGCGAGTATTGCATGGGTTTTTTCTGTGTCCTTTGTGTTATTGTTTATTCGCACCGTTTCTAATTTTTTTTTAAGTGCTTTTTACCTAGTACTATAAGAAAACATTGTATATTCTCTTTATACGGAAGGGTATACATTTTTTAATATCTTGAAATTTAAAAAATATTTAAATTTTTATAAATAAATCATTAATCTCATTTTGTAAGAGAGTATGGAATATCCTTTTATTTTAAAAAGTACTACAAAATTTACCATTTTTAATTAAAGTTTAGAAGTTACTGTAAATAAGGCCAAAATAAAATAAAATTAATTTTATATTATTTTTAGAACTTAGTTTTTCGAAGAGAGTTAATTTTATCCTAACAATTGAAAATTTTAAAAATAATTAAAAATCAATTCTAAAATATAATTTTAAAAAATGTACTTTTTTGAAAAATACAAATTTTACATAGTAAAGAATAAAAAATAAATTTTATTTAAAATTAAATTTTTTTAATTTTTTTAATAAAATCATATATAAATTTTTATTATGTATAATATTAAAAAAGTTAAAAATCATAAACAAATGTATTATATATTTTCTAGAATTAACTTTTCGGACAATAAGATAGTGTGTAACAAGAAACGTCCTTTGGTCAAAATTTGGGCTTAACCGATGGATCTAAGCCCAGCCCGAAGCTAATCCCCAATCAAAGGTGACATCATATGATAGTTGGCGTGGCGAGTAATAGACACAGCAGCAGAAAGTGCTAGAACTAGAACGATTAACGTTAAATTTATCACCCACTTTTTCATGATTAATTTCTGATTAAAACGACAAGTCTCAAAGCCCAACCCTTAGATTCGATATGATATATAAATAATAATTAATATTAATATTTAGAAATCAAAGTGATAGAGATAGAGATAGAGAAAAGAAAGATCATGGACTCGGAAATGACGGAGGCAGAGGCATCGCCGGTGATGGTTGCGTCTAGCTCCGGCCAAAACGACGTCGTTCGAGATTTGCTCACATTGGCGCGCCAACTCATAAATCAAGGCAAACCTTCTCAGGCACTCCAAGCGGTAATCTTTTTTTTTTTTCTCTTCAATTTTATGTAACTCTTTCTCTTCATTTCAATTGGTAATTTGCTGAATTTTTTAATTGATTTTTTTAAAATAAGTATCTGGGGCTTCTTTATTTTTGTTCTGTGCTATAGCATGCAAAGAATGTTTTTCTTGATCTTACTAATCAAACTAGCTAAGTCTGCAAAACATGTTCTAGGGTTGAACACGAAGTTTGTATTAACACTGTTATGGAATGAATAACTGTTTTGTAAGTTGCCAAAGAAATGAATTTACGAAAAAATAGGGATTTTTTTGGGTGGGAAAAAAGAAATAGGGGTAGGGATATTTTGTTTGCCGGTGTTTTCCTATCCAATTTGGATTCACATTTGCAATTTGCAGTGCAAGATTTTAGCATACGCCTGCAAATTCTTGGGTTTCCTATATAAATGGATTTTATTTGTTGCATCAAACATATGGGGTGTTTGAAATTTGATGCTGGGATATCTCATTTGTCTTGTGTGCCAAACTCCCATGAAAGCTTGAATTTAGGATGAAAGAGTTGCTGGCAACTTACCTAAACTAATTAGTAGCACGTTACGTTTGTGTTTGGATTTGGTTATTTTGGATTCAAAACAGATAATAAAAAAAAATATTTTTTATTACACTAATATATGCTACTCACTCTACTTGACCTCTGTGGGGGCATTCCAATTTCCAACTTGTTGTAGGAATGGAAGCGACAAGTATAATGAATCTCTGATCTGCGCTTTAAACTTTTTACCATGCTGCATTCATAGCAAATTACTAATAGCATGTTTTGTTCACTTCAAAATTTATAGAAATAATTGTATATTTTTCATAGACTCTCTCAGAAAGTTAAAAGAAATTCATGATTATTTCTCCAGAATAACCTATAAAATAAACATTCACCAAGATTATGTTAGAATTGGGATGGTGGTGAATGTTTAGTTTTTAGAGACATAAATCATGTTTGCAGAAAGTGCTATCTACTTGCCAAATGAGAAAACCTAGCCAAAAATCCAAAAACTCTGAGATTGTTTGGTTCATCATCCGATTTCATTTTCATTTTTAGTTGGTCTGTTTTTCTATGATAATTACAAAATGGTACCTTGTTTTTCTTTTGTTTAACATGAAATATTTTCGTAGTTTTATAAAGGAAACCATGAAAAATACAAAAATATGTTTTTCCTGTTTCTCTTTTAAAATCTAGAGGACATGAAACAAAGTGATAACAATGGAATTTTTGCAATAATTTGTGAACATGTATCAACTAAAACTGAAAATAGAAAACAAACCGAACACTACCAAAATCTGCAAGTCTTTTTGTGGCTGATATTTACCTATAATTTGAACAGGTGGTCGTAGCTATGAAGAATAGGGGTGGGGATGAAGCTGTTTTTCAGTCCTTGCACCGGGCTCGCGAGCTGTACAGAAGGAGACTGCAAGAGAATGCTGCGGTTGATAAGCTGGCTTCTTTGTTTGCTGAGTGTGCTATTGCTGAAGCTCAGCCTGTAGTGATTGAACCACCTACCAATGACATTACCGTCCAATCAATTACCCCAGATGCTCATGGGACTTCCATACTGGCAGAAAGTGGCAGGATGCAAGTAGTACTGGATGCAGTTTCTGATGGAAGCAGCTTCATCTGTTTGAAGTGTGGAGGCCTTGTTAGTAACCATCGCAAAGAGGAGCACTATGCATACTGGTGTTGTTAGTCCTGTGCGCTTGTGTATAGGGGGTTGCCTATCAGACATGTTGATGCTAAGTTTTTCTATGCATTGTCAAGATGGACTGATAGAATGAGCCAACTTCTGAGTTCTGACTTCCAAAGTCATGCTGCGGTCATAGTGGAGTGAATTGCCAAACTTGGTTTCCTTTGAAGACTTCAATGCTGTAAACTTTCGTGATTTAGTTACCGATACAGAATTGTGTAGTAATCTTGGGCTGTGGCGTCCATGTTGACTCCAATGTGGTAATTATTATTTGGGCCAACAGTACCGTATGTAATGTTGTCTTTTTTTTTTGTTTCATTGAGTTGATTTGTTTTAAGTAATAAATACATAGACCAAAAATATAAGTAATAAATAAAAAAATAATACTTTATTTTCACTTTGTCTTTCATTTTCAAGAATTAACGAAAATGTAGTGAACCTTAACACCATTTTGTCTTCGCCATTTTCACTTGGATAATGTAAAAACAGTATGTTCTTTTTTCGTAATTATGAGTAAAACTGTGAACTGAATGAAAATAAAAAATGAACCTAAGGCTTATTGATAAACTCTTTTTGGCAAGTGTATCAAATCGTTGAAGTAATAAAAGATTATTATTCACAGGGATTAATGCTAAATATCAAATAATAAGAATGACACTAATTGGGTCACAAAAAATAGAGTAAAAATTGCATGAAAATTAATTAAGTGCAAAATTATTAAAACTAAATTAAAATGCTGGAATTTAATTGTATAATATGCAGAATGAAAAACTAAATTTTAAAACACAAAGTAAACTAACTGCAGAATGTAAATACTGTGATTACTGAGATTGGATTTGATAACAATTTAAAGCAGGTTGAGTTCGGAATCTCTTATCCCGTTTTCTTTGTATACAAATAAATTTATAACTCAAAATACAACTTTATCTAATGGTCAGATTTTCTAAAGTACCCAACTTCAATTCCTTGGTAATTGGTTCTAAAATGAAATTACCGTCCTAAATCTTTAGATACAACTAAAGACATTCAACATTAAGAATTAAATCCATTGACCACATCATCACAAATTTCTATTCCTTAATAATTTATAATGAGCAAATTAATTCTAGTCTAAGAAAACTTACTACTTTCTAGTAATAAACTCTTTTTCATCAACCCCATTCACATAAAACAAGGAAGCATTAAGTTTAGAATCAAGATGTTAGATTAAAGCATGTATCTTGAGATATATCTAATGTTAGTTCATTGCAAAGGGTAAAGGTATAAGTTAATTCTCACTCAACCCAAAGATATCTAGCTAGACATAATGCAACGAGATAATATAAAACTGAAATATATTGCAAATACTAAATTCATTTTTACAGAAGAGCTTACAACAAGTAGATGAAATGAGAAAGTTACTGTTCCATTACATAAAGTAGAGAAAATGAGATAAAATCTAAGTTCCCATAAGAATCCCCTAGCAAAGATGTAAAGAAAATACCCTAACTACCATATTCTACGTAAGCTGTATGTAAAACCTAGGTTTCTGCACTCTAGAATCGTAAAAGACAGAAAAGTAAAAGATGTCCAAGATGTTGCCTTTTCAAAAGAATTTCGTTTTTATATGTTCAGTCAGTATCGTTTTTCCACAATCAGGAATCTGTGTTCCCACAAATGAATCCTGCAGCACTCATCTTTAACTCTTTAAGTCCAATTGCAATTTTCTTCTTAATTTTTTCAAAATAAAAGCCATCAGAATTTGAGTGATTCATGAATTTTTCAACAAATACAACATTTCATTGAATTTTTCAATTAATTGCATTAACTTATAATTTAAATTCAATGAAATATGGTTAAAAATCTTAAATTTTCTAGATGAGTTAGTAACTCATCACAACCTCAAACTTAAATATTTGCTTGTCCTTAAGCAAATTAATTTCTTTTTCTTCATGAACAGAATTTAGAATTCTAGCAAACTGCCCCTTTTTTTTCTCTTGAAATAGCAAAATGAATTTTTGAAAATTACAAGCAAACATAAATTTTCTTAACATCAAGGATTGAATTAAACTCCCTCTCAGGATATCTGTTTCACTCCATGCTCTTAATGTCTCAGCTTGTGTTTAGCTCTCTTCAATGCATTTGTTGCTATTCCTTATTCTAGATTTGGCAAATTTGTAACTCACATCTATTCATGCAATTAGTTATAATTAAGAGGACTTCATAAGGATTAAAACATGGTCAAGGTTCAGGTGGGAAAATATTTTTTCTGCTGGTTATTCCCTATATCAAAGAAAGTATGAGGGATAACTTAGAAAATCTAAGAATTGAGATACTTGTGTGCACTTCCTCATTGAGTATTTTAATTTTTTTCCCCTTTCAATAATGCAGACCCAAGTTTCTCTTTTTGATTTTTTTCTTTTCAGCTCTTTTTTTTTTTTTAATAAAACTGAAAGAAATTGAGTTTGCTTCCTTTCAATAATAGCAGCTGCCTACTTAATTTTTTTTCCAGGTTTATACACCACCCCAAACTTAAAAACAATGTTTGTCCTCAAGCAACCAATAATACAACCCTAAACTTAGAATTTTTTAAGTTATCAAAAGAGGAGCTCATACTCTCTTTGATATAGGGAATAGCCAGTAGCCAAAATATTTTTCCACCTGAACCCTGACCATGTTTTAACCCTTATGAAATCCTCTTGATTATAACTAATTGCATGAATATATATGAGCTAGAAATTTACCAAATCTAGAGTAAGGAATAACAGCAAATGCATTGAAGAGAGTTAAACACAAGCTGAGACATTGAGAGCATGGAGTGAAACAGATATCCTGAGAAGGAGTTTAATTCAATCCTTGATGTTAAGAAAATTTATGTTGGCTTGTGATTTTCAAAAATTCATTTTGCTGTTGCAAGAGAGAAAAAAAGGGTAATTTGCTTGTCATGGTGGATGAAGAAGAGGCAGCAGTAGTAGGGTCAATGGGGGTCTTTCTGGTCGCCTATGGGAGCTTTCAGCAAAGGAAGAAAGAGTGGCTACAGTGATCCACTTTGGTTTTAAGACTGAAACATCATTAGGATCAATGGTGACCCTAGCATCTTCACATAATAAAGTGATCAATAAGGGGTAGGCCAATGACTTTTGGCTATCATCGTCCATAATCTGCCTCATTTCTTGATGGATAATCTTGCCCACATTAATTTCCATACCCATGATAATGCAGTAGAGGAGCTGGGTACGCCGTAACAGCAGGGTCGTGTCATGAAGGATAGGTCTAAGAGACCCTATAATGAATTGAAACCATGCTCTAGGAATGGCCAATAAATCAGCCACCAGTAAACTCCATGGTTCGACACTTCCTAGTGGTCTTCATTTAGATCCTGGCTTACAAAGAGTATGGATGATTGCTTCATAATTTGGGGCTTGTTCTAATAGGTCACCATAATCATCTCTTGCTGGTCTAATAGTGGTACGAAAAATCTGCAGCACCTTGTTAATAACTCTAGGGGTAAAAGAAACTTTTGTGCCTCTGATCATAATGTGGTAGTGAGAAAGGTTGCTGCCACTGCGGGAGTCAGCTTTTCCATTAGCATAAAATTCCCTCACTAGGTTTTGAAACCTCTTGCCTGTCAAGCCATAAAAAAATTCCCATTTTCTGACTTGAATAGTAAGCTGAATAGCCCGAACTTCTCCTTTATTGAGCTTAAAGCCACTGTCCTCAATAATTTTCCTATGTTTGATACTAGCGTTATGAAAATTCTCATGGAAAGGTGTGCGAAAGGGGCATGTGTTCGCTAATTCACTCTCTTTACTTTTGGATGCAGAAAGTTCAATTCTGGACCTCTTAGGTCTGCTAGCAAGAGTTTTTCGCCTCATCTGTCATTCACAACAATTTATCAGGGAATTAGCAGTAGTGCAGAAAATTAAATAAAAACTGAACATAATCTCAATTTCAATTTTTGAATTGCCAAACATTAAACAACATCGTTGTGCAAATTGCAGGCCCAAAAATGAAGAAAGAATCAATCATTGAAAAATAAAAATGCTCTATAAAGTGAGCATTTGACTGTAACAATGGACCATATTTACAAGACAGATCATACATTATCACAATATGATGTATATGCAATCTACATACTGGAAAATTGAATCAGTGAGCACACACAATTTTCAGCCAGAAAAAATAATACGTGAGCAAACATTCTGCACAGAATTAGAAAATATAACACTAAAAAAAATATCTCAAGCTGAAGTTATCATATCAATAACAGAGATGCTTATGTTCCCAAGTTCAGTAATTGTTTGTTGAATGAATGCAGCAAGCATGAATCAAATATGAAGACCAAAAGAGCATGTTCAGAATTGATCAATGAAATTTGTGCAGTAAAAGGAATGAAGATTGCATATGTCCACTGTGTTTGGCCTAAAATTTTGAGCTCTCAAAATTTAGAATTTGATCCTTCATATAAAGTGAAAATGTACCATAAAAGGAGAAAAATATTAAGAAAATTTTATATTGCGAGTGGTATGTAAGACCAGTTTTCAGAAATTCACACACTATGAAGATACACAAAATAGAAACAAAGTACAAAGATAGTGATTGTGTATAATTGAAAAACTGAGCAATGAATGAGAACATTGTACTGCACAAAATATACAAACAAAAATTGCAGTAACAAGGGTTTCAAGCAACATTGATTAAGTCATCAAGAATTAAAAATAACAATAGGGTCTTTTAATGAAGTTTGAAATCATGAATTTACAACATCCAACCATAGAAACAATGAAATTCTATCTCCCAAGGTGCAGTAAAATGTTTTAATAGAGCATGTAACTAAGGTCCCTAAGAATTAGGAATTGTCAACAAAATACGTCAAATCAGCAACAATGATTCCAATTTATCGCCGAGATTGTTCAAAATTTACAAAGGCAATAATATGGACTATGGAGACAGCAAAGTTATCTATGATTTCTTGGTTAAAAACAGAACATATTGCGACACCCAGAAAATTTAAATACACTCAAATAGAAAGAAGGACAAGGAGCAAGGAATAGCATGTACTGATGTAAGAATGGCACACAAAGTGGGAAAATCACTATAAACAAAATGAGGGCTTGTAAGAATGGATTAGTAGTGACCAGAGTACAAAAAATTGCAAAAATTTCCAAAACATTGTAGGTATAGCACACACAAGGCAAAGGTTCATTGAAAAATAGGGTAATAACATAAAAATTAAAAAATTGCATATGTAAAACTTCATGTAAGAAGAAGGTCCAATGAACAGGAAGTAGAAAACATGCAAAAATTATGAAATTATCACTGAATACACCCATGAAAAAGGAACAAGAAACACAAAATTAATAAAAATACCAAAAAACACTCAAATATTGTTGTTGGTGCAGAGTATACAAAAAAGGGAAAACTTCCATGCCCTAATCATGCACAGTACACAACAAGTGTGAAATAAAGGGCATTCAACATCCATTAACCAACAATCACAAATAGAGAAGGCAAGCAAAAGATTTGGAAAAATGATATTCATGAATAGTACTGACCATTGAAGAAAAAAGAATGCCCTACTCAATGCAATGAACCATGAATGAAAACGAGAATGAAATGAAAACTCACAGAAAACGGAGGATCTAGTCGTAAAAGAAGCGTACCTTTGGAAGCTTGGAACTTTTGAAAATGACTACCAGAAGGGAAAATGAATAGTGCAGGGGATAACAGATGGTGAAGTGAACAAGAATGTGGGGAGAAATGTGAAGTAATGTGATTAAAATGGGAGGTGAAGCATTAAAGAGGAAGCTGCAAAGTGTGGTAAGAGACTGCTCGTGTTCTGAGCATAAACAATCGCCACTTTTGAGTTTCTTTATTTTTTTCAATTTTTTTATATAAAACAATAAATATATATATTTTTTGTTTTTATATTTTATATATATATATTTATTATTATTTTAATAATAAAATAGAAAAATACTATTATAATGACAACTTTACATATGTACTAAATGACAAAACAGAACCCGAGTGACGCTTCTTTAGGACCTCCCCTGGGATTTTGAAACTTCAAAAAATTCTTTAAGTCCATAGGCCAAAAAAAGAGCCTAGTGCCAGTGCTGCATCCCCATAAATGACTTTTCTATGTGGCCACATGATACGAAGTAGATAACTGCTTAAAATTAAATTTCCTGTGGTCATTCCCTTTTAAATATATAGCACTTTGCTGCCCTTCAATCCTGAAATTAGATATTAATGAACCAAAAATTATAACAAAACCTACTAAAAAGTTTAACAACTAAAATTAAAGAAATAAATTTAAAATTGCAAGAAAATAATTCTATTCTAAACTATTCTATTGCTACTCGTATTCTAATTTATTGAGAGTCTGATAAATGAACAATTTTCTTCTCCCTCTGAATTTCTCCTCCAAGATAGATTTTAAGGGACTGTCCATTAACTTTGAACACTCTATCAGAAGAAGGATCTTGAATTGTAATTGCTCCAAAAGGAGAGACCTCCTTGTTGTCCAGGCTGAAAGACTCTATGTTTGATTGCCTTGTCATGATAGGTCTTGGCTCTTAATTTGTAAATTGCAGCATTTTCATAAGCCAAATTCCTCCATTCTTCTAACTCAGTGAGCTGCAATTTCTTTTGTTCTTGTGACACTTTCTCATTCGAATCTAAATACTTGATTGCCCAATGTGCTTTGTGCTCTAATTTCAATAGAAGGTGACAAGCTTTTCCATATATCAGCTGATATGGAGACATTCTAGTGGAGCTCTTGTAAGCTGTACGATAGGCTCACAAAGCGTCATCTAACTTTGTTGACCAATCTCTTCTGGTGTTGCCCACTATTTTCTCCAATATTCTTTTAATTTCTCTATTCATCACCTCAACATGCCCAATTGTTTGTGGGTGATAAGGTGTTGCCACCTTATGCTTAACATTGTACTTGTTGAGGAGAGATTGAAACTGCTAGTTACAAAAATGAGTGTCACCATCACTAATTAAAATCCTTGACACTCCAAACCTCACAAAAATATTTCTCTTTAAGAACTTGATCACAGTCTGGGCATTGTTTAAAGGTGCTGTAACTGCTTCAGCCCACTTGGACACATAATCAATTGCCACCAAAATATATTTGTTCTGGAATGACGATAGGAATGGTCCCATGAAGTCCATCCCCCAGCAGTAAAAAATTTCCACTTCTAAAATGCTGTTTAAAGGCAATTCATTCTTCTTAGTAATATTTCCCATCCTCTAGTATTTATCATAGCTTCTTAAGTACGCAAAGGAATCCTTGAAAATTGTTGGCCAGAAAAATCCATTTTGCAATACTTTTGCAGCTGTCTTCTAGTATTTATTTCTTTGTGCAAAAATATGGCAAGCATGCACCGTTGGAATGTTGCAGGAGCGTTGCAAAGTCCAAAAGAAAAGTTACTAGCATCACATATAACTTCAAATGGAAGATTCCAATTAGGTGCAGTAATAACAGGTGCAGTAATAAGTTTCTTTTTTATAACATTAAAAACATGCAGGCTGTTTTCATTAAAAATAAATGGGGTGTCTTTGTTCAACAATGAGCATAGGTGTTTAACAATCTTTAAAAAATCCTTATCCCTCTGACATTGGTTGGTGGTGACAGATTTTCTATGACTTCAACCTTTGCTCTATTCACTTCAATTCCTCTTGCAAAAATCTTATGTCCCAGCGCTATGCCTTCCTAAACCATGAAGTGACATTTTTTTCGATTAAGAATTAGGCTGGTTTCTATGCATCTCTACAACACACAAGATAAATTTGTCAGACAAAGATCAAATGAATGCCCAAAGACTGAAAAATCATCCATAAAAATTTCTATAGACTTCTCTATCATATTAGAAAATATGGCAAGCATGCACCATTGGAATGTTGTAGGAGCGTTGCAAAGTCCAAGAGAAAAGTTACTAGCATCACATATAACTTCAAATGGAAGATTCCAATTAGGTGCAGTAATAACATGTACAGTGATAAGTTTCTTTTTTATAACATTAAAAACATGCAGGCTGTTTTCATTAAAAATAAATGGGGTGTCTTTGTTCAACAATGAGCATAGGAGTTTAACAATCTTTAAAAAATCATAAATAAATTTGCGATAAAAGCCAGCATGGCCTAGGAAACTCCTTATCCCTCTAACATTGGTTGGTGGTGGCAGATTTTCTATGACTTCAACCTTTGCTCTATCCACTTTAATTCCTCTTGCAAAAATCTTATGTCCCAGCACTATGCCCTCCCGAACCATGAAGTGACATTTTTTCCAATTAAGAACTAGGCTGGTTTCTATGCATCTCCGCAGCACACAAGATAAATTTGTCAGACAAAGATCAAATGAATGCCCAAAGACTGAAAAATTGTCCATAAAAATTTCTATAGACTTCTCTATCATATCAGAAAATATGGCAAGCATGCACCGTTGGAATGTTGCAGGAGCGTTACAAAGTCCAAAAGGCATTCTGCGGTATGCAAAAACACCAAATGGGCAGGTGAAGGAAGTCTTCTCTTGGTCTTTCGGGTTAACAACAATCTAGTTGTACCCAAAATAGCCATCCAAAAAATAATAGAATTATTGTTCAACTAGCCACTCCAACATCTGGTCCATGTATGGAAGTGGAAAATGGTCTTTACGTGTGGCATGGTTCAGCTTCCGATGGTCGATGCACATCTTCCAACCAGTCACAGTGCGGGTGAGAATGAGCTCGTTATTTTCATTTCTTATCACATTGAGTCCTCCCTTCTTGGGTACCACTTGCATGGGCTAACCCATTCACTGTCGGAAATGGGGTAAATCATCCATGTTGCCAAGAGCTTCAACACTTCCTTTTTGACAACCTCTTTCATGACCGGGTTTAGTTTCCTTTATGGCTGCATCACAGGTGTGAACTTATCTTCCAGTTTAATTTTGTGCATGCAAAATGTGGGACTAATTCCCTTCAAATTTTCAATGGACCATCATATTGCTGCCTCATGCTCCCTTAAAACTCTCATTAAATTTTTTTCATTCAACTGAGAGAGTTTGCTGCTGATTATCACTGGGCAAGTTTTCTTTTCTCCTAAAAACACATATTTAAGGTGAGAGGGCAGGGGCTTCAATTCTAACTGTTGTGGTTCTACCTTGCTATCTTCTTCCAATTTTTCAGCATATGTAATTTTCTACATAATAGGTTGAGCGTCGAGTTGCTGTACAATTTCTTCTAATTCTTCATCACTTCCTCCATCATTATTCATGACAACATTGGCCAAAGTTTTTTTCAGTGGGTCTGCACAATTTCCAGCATCAAAACAAGTGTCCTTCTCATCATCCGGATGCTGCATAACCTCAAAAACTTTAAAAGTCACATTCTCATCATGCACCCTTAACATCAATTGTCCTTATTGCACATCAATCAAAGCCTATCATCAAAGGTTCTCAATTGAAGCCATTCGGGTAACTAATGATAAGGGCAACTTCTCAAGAGTTTTTTGAATTTGTCTCATGCCTCTTGCAGTGTTTTCATCTTCCCTTTGAGAAAAAACCAGAATTTCTTGCCTTAACTTGGTTGTTCTAAAGGCTGAAAAATACTTCGTCAGCAACTTGCTCTCTAAATCAAGTAGTGATACTTCCTTTCGATTGGGGTAACAACCAGCTTTTTGCCTTATCCCTTAAAGAAAATGGAAAAAGTGACAACCGGATAGCCTCATCACTCATACCATTCATTCTAATCATTTTACAAATGGTAAAAAAAAATTGAATGTGCAAGTGGGGATCTTTACAAGGATGTCCAACAAATTGCTCTTGCTGGACCACTCTCATAAGGTCAGGTCTGATCTCAAAGTTGTTTGCTTGAATGGGAGGTCAAACAATGAAGGTGGGGTTTTCTCTCGGTCTTGCACGTGCATAATCATCCAAGGTCCTCCGTTCTTCATTGGGATTTCCTGCCATTTCTGTAGAATTCTGTTCTTGTGGGTCTTTTTCTTTTTCTAAAGTCTGTCCCCTCTTTTTGTTTTTCTTCTTAAAATTAATAATTAGCTAATCAAGTTTTGGAGATGAATCACTCTTTTTGATCTTCTCCTTGCCTTGCATCAACCAATTCAACTGCTACATTTAGAAATTTCTTGCGAACACTTAAAACACAACAGAAATTATTAATCCAAACTAACAAATTCTCATTACAATTGATATTAACAAAAAATCCCTGGCAATGGTGCTAGAAACTTGATAAACTCTTTTTGGCAAGTGCACCAAATTGTTGAAGTAACAAAAGATTATTGTCGACAAGGATTAATGCTAAATACCAAACCACAAGAATGATACTAGTTGGGTCATAAAAAATAGAGTAGAAATAAAATGAAAATTAATTAAGTGCAAAATTATAAAAACTAAATTAAAATAGTGAAATTTAATTGTATAATACGCAGAATAAGAAACTAAATTTGGAAACACAAAGTAAACTAACTGCAGAATGTAAAATTGTGATTACTGAGATTGGGTCTGATAACAATTTAAAGCAGGTTGAGTTCGGAATCCTTTATCCCTTTCCCTTTGCATACAAATAAATTTATAACTCAAAATACAACTTCATCTAATGGTCAGATTTTCTAAAGTATCTAACCCCAATTCTTTAGTAATTGGTTCTAAAATGAAATTATTGTCATAATTCCTTAGATACAACTAAAACATTCAACATTAAGAATTAAATATATTCTTAGATAATTTATAATGAGCAAATTAATCTCAGTCCAAGAAAGCTTATTACTTTCCAGTAATAAACTTTTTTTCATCAGCCCCATTCACGTAAAACAAGAAAGCATTAAGTTCAGAATTAAGATGTTAGATTAAAACATGTATCTTGAGCTATATCCAATGTTAGTTCATTGCAAAGGGCAAAGGTATAAGTTAATCCTCACTCAACTCAAAGATATCTAGCTAGACATAATGCAAGGAGATAATATAAAACTGAAATATATTGCAAATACTGAATTCATGTTTACAGAAGAGCTTTCAGCAAGTGGATGAAATGAGAAAGTTACTATTCCATTACATAAACCAGAGAAAATGAGATAAAATCAAAGTTCCCATAAGAATCCCCTAGTAAAGATGTAAAGAAAATACTCTAACTACCATATTCTACGTAAGTTGTATGTAAAACTTAAGTTTCTGTGCTCTGAAATCGTAAAAGACAGAAAAGTAAAAGATGTCCAAGATGCTGCCTTTTTAGAAATTTTTCACTTTTATATACTCAGTCAGCATCGTTTTTCCACAATCAGGAATCTGTGTCCTCACAAATGAATCCTGCAACACTCATTTTTAGCTCTTTAAGTCCAATTACAATTTTCTTCTTAATCCTTTCAAAATAAAACTGTCAGTTATCAAAATTTCAATGATTCATAAATTTTCCTGCAAATACAACATTTTATTAAATTTCTCAATTAATTGTATTAACTTATAATTTAAATTCAATAAAATATGCTTAAAAACCTTGAATTTTCTAGATGAGTTAGTGACTCATCACTTACCCTTTTTACGGATTTCGTATGTATACATTTAGATGGATATTACATAGTAAAAATAATGAAAAATATGTCAGACCCTAGTTTCTTAACTATTTGTATTATGAGTTTTATCCCTCTTATTTTTCTGGTGCAATGTCGGAAATTGGTAGCATGGGAACCCTTGTGCAAGTGAGCATATAAATTCTACATCTTTGAAAAATTTCAAGAGTAAATACTATCTTTCTTGCGCACATAAATTGCTAGAAAGAAACAAGGGTTTCCCGGCTCGCTCAAATTTGACTTCAATCCAATGTCTCTCCATTACAAAGTAACTTACGAAGAAACTTCGCCTCACTAGCGAACTGCTGTGTATATAGCCATAAAAAAATTGATGCATATACCACATGGGTGTTCAAGATGCCGCATTGTTTTTTTTTTTTTACTGCTTTTGTGTAAAGGGTTTCAAAAGATTCAATATCACACCTGTAAGTTATTTTAGCTTGGACTTTGCCCACTGTAAAACTTGGAAAGTTAAAAAAATAAATCCGTGTGCAATGCAGAATAAATATATTGAGGACGTTATACGTACTTTTAGGTTCAAATCTAATTGGGTTAGGTTATGGGGTGGGAAATGCAATCCAAAGGGGAAAAACTGATTAACAAGTATATCATATCGGTTATCATCTTTATGTTTCTACTTTCTACAAAATCTGGTAGTAGATTACAATCTCTTTCAATATAGTAACTAATGTTCTTTACACACAAGACCTAGAGGTGAAAACAGAAGAATTTCCTTCTGTTAACCTGTAACATGAAGCTACAGTAATTCTATCAACAAAAATCAACGATTGATAAACACAGTAAGACCATAGAAACTTACAAGTAAGCAACAGAAGACTCTCAATACACATTTCCAAGACTTGACAAAAGAATATTTCCTTTTTCCTCCCTTCTAGTGTTGGTATGAACAGACAATATTCCAACATAATTTGTCAGGCAAGATCTTTATCAATGCCTCCAAGCAAGCAACTATCTCCTATTCTTAATTATTTGGGTAGCAGTTGGCAACATTTTTACACACCTCACAAGATGCTCCATATGCAGTAAACTACGGAAACATTTCCAACATTCGAGCAGTATATATAAAGTCAGCAACCATTAATATTACACTGCAACTAAAAACAAGGAACATCAGAATGTCCGATCAATGCATTTTTATTCACTAATAAAAGAACTAAAGCTTTTGGGTTGTTATAACTACATCATATACCTAGTATGTGTGCATGCGCACCACGCACAATATATGATACAAGAGTGAATAAATATTTATATGAAAAGAAGAATAAAATTTTGAAATTTTGTATGGTGCAAGGGTTGACTTGATGTTATTTAAATAAATTTAAAGGGTTATTTACCTGCACCTAGTTTCTGTTCTTTCCAATGCCGTATGTCTAGGATCAATCTTGTAGGTAAAAAAAAATTAACACTTAGCCACAGCAAATGGACGATCACAATAACATTGAGATTCACATGATATGTGGCAAAGCTTGTGATCGTGGCCTTGTTCTCATGATTGTCTCATCACTATGTCGAATCAATTCAGAAAGTCTCCATGGTTTCTGCCACTTCCATTTGAATTGTACTAGCCACTGATGGTGGCTTCTTTTCCATCTCCATAACTTGCCAGAAGCTTGTCCTACAATTGCTAGTTTTTTCATTGGCAGTTGCCCAATGGGTATCATCTGCATTGACAGCAAACCTCACGTCCTTAGCCCAATGAAAACACGTAAAGCAATTTAATATAAATGGAGAATAAATTATTACCCTTCTACTCTGATCTATAAATGCTGCTGATTCCCTCACTCGGCCATTAGCAATACCTGGTGTAAATTTGCGCTGTTTCTGTACTGGCAAAGACTCTGGAGACGATGGTTCCTTGATATCTTCCGCATAATGTTTCAACGAATTTGGAGAATTTACCTGTTGACAAAGTGTTGATAAATTAACTACTAACAGTGAAAGCAATATGTTGATGACATTTACTATGATTCACAAAAGTATAAGATATCCAATTAAAAGTTAGTCACAACAATAACAACATCAATAAGAAAATGAACTACAAGAGAGACACTATAACGCCATACAAAAACCTTAGAATCATAAGTTCTCTATAATTTAAGAAAGAAGAATGCTAACAATATATTCATTTGAACACTCTTTTATACATTCTCTATTATTGAGATGTGAAAATGTGTTAAAAATAATGTTTAAAAGAGTGTTTATAAATATTTTCTTTTTCGGTAATTCTAACCTAATTCTCATTTGTCACTACTATGCAGTGGAAATTTAAAAATTATGCAAGATAGATAAAACCTCTACATTCAAATTTATTTATTATATCAATGTTTTACAATGCCACCAGTTGTTTTGGTTTTTTAAAATTATTTTTTTGTTAAATTGGAGATGCAAGCACTTGGTAGGGAGAGGGAAAGGTGAGTAAATGGAGGGACAGCGTCATGCTCAAGCTTAAAAACTTGAGCTGGTGCTGGTTGAGTTACAAGATCATTGACATTTAGGTTTTATTTACTTGCTAGTAGATGATTATTCATCTTGAGCTTTGAGTTTGGTCTACTTGGTTTGCGAGTATGAAGAGTTTTATGTTCACATAAAACATAGCCATTAAGATGTTGATGGGTTTGCCCAATTGGTGTTGCTCGAATCTTAAGCGGACAAGATCTTACAGAGGTTGGCGTAGCCAATGTGGTTGCAACAGCTTGCTCTCTCACTTTTAGTTCCTTTTCAGCTTCCTTTCTCTTAATTTCACTTTGCCGTAGTAGACCTACAAGTTCTTTGATTTGATCTTTCATTTCCCTGATCTCGGTGTCCTTCTCCCACAGTTGGCACCTGCAGTTAACATCTCAAACTTCAAATTTCAACACTATATACAAGCATGTCATACAAACCACTCTGTAAATACAAATGCATGTTTATTTCGCATGACAGATAGTCATACTTTCCAATCGTTTTCTAGTGGTCAGTAAAATAAACCACACCGCATCACAAGC